TCATAAAGAATCCTTACGCTGCTCGTCTATTATGAGTGATGACGAAATGAGCCGCTTACGCCCTGACTAGATGATGAGGTCACAAAAGCCTAGATAAGCGTTCTTGGGCATTTCGAAGACTGCCAATCAAACCGACATTCATTTGATTATCAGCAAGAGATGCACTTACCTCTAAATGCGAGAGACGGGACAACATCCTTCAGCGACTGCAGTAGCATTGGTGGGATATTTGTACTATTCTTCCTTGGCGCTCGTAGCATTACAGTCGCCTTTTGTTGGCTCTGTGAATGTTGTTGCTGTTGCTGCTGCTGCTGTTGCGGCGGTGGTTGTGGTTGAGGATCCACTATCATTTGCGGAGACGGAGCAGACTGTTGTTGTTGTTGTGGCGTAGGTGCTGAAGTCAACTGGAACCGCTCCAACAAATTTCGTGCCGTTGCCTCATTCACTGTTGCAGCCGCAGCCGTTGCAGCTGCCTTCTCGCGTTCTCCACCGACTGCCATTATGACAGGATAATTACTTGGGACGAGAAGGTAAAGCTGACTCGAGTTGTTTGCCTTCTTAATCTCCTATTTAACAGAGAGAGACCCTCTCGATTCATCGTTCATGGTGCCCGTTCAAGTGTATATGCAAACAAGCTGACTTTTCCGGCTACTTCTAGGCAATAAAAGGCACCCACTACTCCACAACCCACCTCGGTGGAAATAACGTTGCCAGATTTGCGCATAAGTTCTTGCAGTCCAGACTGGGTAAGAGAAAAGACGGGGGAGGAAGATGGGTTGGCGTTGGTGTTGGACTGGTGCTGAGGGGGTTCCAGGCCATTGTTTGGCGATGACTCGAGACTGTGGGGTGGGGATGAGCGTTGGAGATGCTGGTGGAATGATTTTATGGGGACTGAGGGAGATGTACGGCAGGAACGCGGCGTGCGCTCCATCTGATCGTCTGGAAAAAGAACAAAAAGTAAAGAAATTATTCAAGGGTTCTTTAAACGTTTCCATGGAAACAATCAATCCCAATGCTACTAAGATCTGGTATTACCCTGGATTTCAAAAGTGGGAAATGAACAAAGAACCGCAATGCATCAACTATAATGAAATTCAAAGCTCATGCATTTCTTCGCGTGAACGAAGACTTCAGACTAATGTTATTGTAATTCTTATCAATTTTAACGCAAAAAAATTAGCGTATAGTAGGTTGAGTCGTGATTAAAATCACCTGTCTCCACACCTCTGCGACATTCCTCAAGAATTGGAACATCTCGAATAACCTCACAAAGTAACTAGCAAACGGCTGAAAAAGTGATTCACAGTAGGAGAGCCAGGGGAAGAACTGAATGGCACCAAACATCTGCATGATGCAAGTGAAATAAGACAGGCCTTCACATTAGGAACATGACCAAGCAATTTACTACAATAAAAAAGAAATTATTAAGCTCAAAGTTATCACCGAGAAGGGATTGACAAGACTTGAGAAATCTACGATCAACAGCGCAAACGAGCAGCAAGTGGAGTGCGGATTAGAGGCTCCCTTCCGTAACGGCGACCCATCTGAACCCATTTTCCATGTGTCAATCTGGGTGGCTATGAAACTAAATGCGACAAAATCGGCACCGTTAACCATAGCAAAGGCTACATTTCATGATAGCGTGGAAGAGCGATGAATGAAGGAGGAGAGAAGATGAGACGAGTCATAGCAGCCACCTACCGATTCGCACACAACTACATACGGGCGTACACATACACACAAGCAGGCACGTAAACATTCAAATTGAGACGTGTCACATGACGACACAGAAGACGCATACAGGCATCATGTGACCCGGTGGGAGAAGGAACTTGAATCAGAGTAAGGAACAAATAAGCAGTAGGTGGACTTACCAATAGGAGACCGACGCGTTCCTGCAGTAGAAGGCTCACTGAGATGACGGGTGGGGGATGTGAAAACGGCTGATGTCTCGTCAATGACACCTTGCTGCTGTTGGGTGCTCAAAATAGCGGAGTAGATGTCCGCGCACGTTGTGCTAGTGCTATTGCTGTTATTATTTGTGCTGATGTGGGAATTTGGAGACTTGGATTTGGGGCGATCTTGACTCGTCAAATTGGCAAAATGGGTAAAAAGGTCGCGGCCACTGATGTAGCTGGCCCCACCAAGGTGATTTTGGGAACTAGTTGGCGCGTACTCATTGTTGGGGACAGTATCCATTACGGCAAACGCAATCTGAACAGGTCAAATAGACGCAAACAATAATTACCAAACTGTCCAAGCAAACTGCATCCCATATCCAGAATACAAAGTTTATATTATCGCCCAACTTGAAGGCAAATGCCAAGAGCAGAAGTACACAATGTTCTTGCAACACAAAGGAATTTAAATAAATGTAAAATAAAGCAACGGCATTAAGCACGCCACCAAAAAATCGTAAAGTGAAATTGATGACAAAAGGAAGGCATCCGTTTTCAAGCAACTTTTATCTGATAATAAATGATGAGAATTTGTGATGCTCACCTTTGGTGAAATGGAAGACAAAGGAAAAATTTACACAGACATTGCGCAGGGAGCGACGAGAGCGCCGACGACCGAAACTCGGTAATCTTATTTAACGGATAAAAACAAAATCCTGGGTCAGAAAATTTGTCGACATAGGTTAACGACACCCTATAAAAAGTATTGAGGTATTTAGTCTATCAAAATTCAAAACATAAAGGA